GTTGTTTCTTTTTACGAAAAAAAACTTGTATGAGATGAAGCTATTATATTATTATATGAACATGATACATTTTGATATGAACATTTTTTATAATGAGATGAACATGTTGGTTAAAGGGATGAAGTTGTTGTATGAAGGGATGAACATGTTTCAGAATAAAGATCAACATGTTATATTATTTTGTGAACATGTTGTATGATAAGATGTACATGTTGTAGAAACTTATGAACAGAATTTACCTAGACCACATGTTCATCAGCTAATGTGGCTGCTTGATGCTCTCCATCTCTTGGTGGTTTGATGGGATCAAGTATTAACCCCATCCCAAAACCCTGGCCACTCTGCTCTTCCCTAACTCTCTTGGAAATTGCTTGATTTGTCCAATAAGCAATAGAAGGGAATTTCCGGGGCACATAAGTTTTGTTCATAAACTGGACCCTGTCCAGATAGCATACCACCAAGAAAGTGAGTGGACCATTAAAATGGGCCTCTCCACCACTTTCATTCCACATCTTGACCGATTCAGAAAGAGCTTGTAACACATACTGACACCAATTGTAATTGATGATGTCAGATGGTTTTCGCAACGATTTGAGCAATCTTAACTTGCATTCTTGGCACCACAGCTATCACAAAAGTTCTTTTAAAGTCATCTCCATAGAGTCCTCTCTCAACGTCCTTTCCAGTTAAATATTGCACCAGCTTTTTGGCTGTTGGAGCTCCAGTCGTACGCTTAAAACCAAAGGTCTCCCTCAAATCCCCAAGCATCTTATTATATTGTTCATCCTTGTCATACCAATCTCCCTCAATGACCTCTTTTGGTCCTCTTGGTACGCCCAGAACAGCCTCAACATCTTCGGCGGTAATATTCATCTCTCTATTACCGCGGAGAATGAGAGTGTTACTGGCATAACTGTGATAACATGTGATATAATGTGATGTACATGTTTAATAAGAAATGAACATGTTGTAGAATGAAAATAACATGTACATTCTATTGAAAATCAAATTTCACAAATTACTTGTACTTTCTGACCAAGAAATAACAAAGATTTGGTGAAGCAATTTGTGTAATCTTCATGTCGAGAAGATGACCAAAGCCTATACTCTTTACATCTTCTTTCTGTTGGTCATCCAAGTCTTTGAAAAATTTGCACAACGCTAGAGGGTAAACTCTATTTAAGAATCCCCCTTCTTCTTTTATTTCAGAGGTTAATTTTGGCTTCTTTCTTTCAGTTTGCTCACTCAGAGTATCAGTTTTCCTTTTTCTACAAAAATAATATCATGAACAGTTACAATATAATATGAACATGTTACAGTATAATATGAACATGTTAAATTGTATAATGAACATGTTCAAATATAAAATGAACATGTTACAGTATGATATGAACATGTTTTAGTATGTAATGAACATGTTTAATTGTATAATGAACATGTCTATATGATATGTGCTCTGAACTTTTACAAAACAAAAAGACTAAGCACCCATTTAATATGACAATATTTCAGTATGATGTGAACATATTTAATAAATAAATTAACATGTTTATATATAAAATGAACATGTTAATATACAAAATGAACATGTTTAAAAACAAAATGAACTTTTTCTATAAAAATAATATCATGAACATGTTACAGTATGATATGAACATGTTTCAGTATTTTATGAACTTGTTCTATTGTATAATGAACATGTTCAAGTACAAAATGAACATGTCTACATTCTATGTAAGATGTTCTTTGGACATGTATAACAACGAAATGAACATGTTTAATAGATAAATGAATATGTTTAAAAGCAAATTGAACATGTTCAAATTAACCAATATACGAATGAAGATGAACAAGGCGGACATACCGTACACCAACATTTTCTGGCCGTTGTTTCGAACTATTTTTCCTACGGGCTTTAATTTTATCCTGTGTGGCAAAAAAGTAATTACACATTATACAATCTTCTGCAATGACTACTTTAAACCCTAGGCACAAAAATTTGAAATTGAAAATAGGGTTTTGGAAAGTGAATTGAATCTCTAATCGGAATGGTTTCAACCCAAGGCACAAAATACATACTAGCATTTTCCGCAATGTCTCGTTTTCCATCTGCCATGAAGTAGGGTTTTTCATTTCTAAGTTTAACATTAAAAATCTATGAAATTGAAATTTAATCGACATGAAAAGCAAAGAAATCTTACCTGTGAAGTAGGGATCGTTAGAAATTGAGCGTTTTTTAGCTAAAATTGTTTTCTCCGGGAACTTTTGCTCGTGAAACAGAGAAAATTAAGAGAAAACAATGGTGAGAATGAAGAGGAGTTGCAGTTGGGGGAGAAGATAATTGGAAAATCGAGGCACGATGCCGGCAAAATTGAGGAAAAAAAATAAATGTTAAAATGTGTGATTTGAACGGGCGCGTGGTTTCACGTTAAATAAAACACTTTTCAACACTTTTTTTTTACCTGGCTGGCGCGTGCAAATCTGGCCTGGCACACCTAGCAAGGTGTGCCAAGGCACACGATAGTGCAACTGATATAAGAGTGGGCTTTAGTTAACCACCAAATGCCCCTTCTTTATTTTTTAACAAAATTTTTAGATGAAACAACGTGGTTCATGTTTGGTTAACACAAAATAAAAGAAAAATTAGTATTACAGTGTTCCGTTCGATTAATAAGAGTCGGCTTTATTTTATTTCTTGTATCTGCATTGCATTAATTTTATTTTTCTTTGCTCGATTAGTTTGTCTAATAGGCTTATTAAGATTATTGAGTTGTACTCGTCTTTTAATCTAATAAGCTAAATAATATAGTAGATGTCCTCATCTACTTATTATTGATCCAAATTCGTATTATAGCTTTTGAAAAACAAATTCATTCAAAATTTCAAGACCGTGTGCTACCTCTTTATTTCTAACTAGTTTTTGACCTGTACATTTGCACGGAAGCTATATGATAAAGGGAAAAAAAATTTGTAAAAATCATAACATGATCATTGAGAAAAAAGTTAAGCAAGAAAATCTAAATTTAAATATTTTTTTTTTCCGGAACGATAGATGTACTATAAAAAGCACAAAAGTGCAAAGAGAACAAATTACAAGACCCCAACGGGGTAATCCAAGACCCCAACAGGGTAAAATCTAAGACCCCAACAGGGTAATGAGACAGGGGCCAACGGCCCAAACCAAAAACACTCCTAATAAAAGAACAGGAATAGAAAACTGAGAGGACACGCACATGGCGGCCTAAAGAACTCCACAACCGAAAATAAAGGAAAATAAATAACAGAGCCACTGCACAATGCCTAGCCTGTATTCATTTCCAAACAAAGACAAAAAAACACACCGAACAAAAAAAGACAACAAATCGATTAAAAAAAAACACACATAACGAACACACTGAAGAAAATAAAAACGACCCCTTCTTTATATACAGCGTTCGTGGTTTTTCTATCGTCACAATCTCCATCACCACAAATCATTATCTTCAGACCCCTCCGATTTGTGACCCTAGATAGTGCCATATACAATTGTTCATGACTGAATACAAGGTTCTTCAATAGTAAGCCGACGTGGGATAGTGACTGGCCTTGACTCTTGTTGATAGTCATAGGATATGAAACTATTTGCGGAAATTATCTGCGGTGAAATTTGAAAATCAGATGGTATGATTGTGAGCCTAGGAATAAGAACCTTGTCACCAGCTCTAGCGCCGGTTAAAATCCTGCATTCCAGGACATGGCTGCTGAGCTTAGTGATAAACAATCGTGTACCTGTTGACATCAAAATTCAGAAAACAAAAACATATCACTCAAATTTGTACAAAGATAAAAGGAAATATAGATGATAGATTGAATTTTGATAAACAGTATCGTTGCACAACCCCATGGAGTGATCAATGTTTCTAAGAAGCATCACTGGAGTGCCGACCTTAAGGTGCAATTCATGATTCGGAAGTCCAGAGCACTTGATCCCATTGAGAAATTCAGGAGCGTGAAGATCGTGAAGAGAATCATATTCAGCATCTGACTTGCACGGGGTGTCCGAACTCAAATAAGTCCTTCCCTCGGATGAGTTCAGTGAGCTCATGTACTTGTTAACGGACTCAACCACATCAAGTGTTTGGAAGCGAGTATGGCTCTTTCCTTCAAATAGCTAAGATCATCACCTGCACTCCTAAATATCGGGTAGGTACTATCAAAATAAGTGCCAATAGGATCCTCTTGCCAGTGTAGAAGAATATTGTCATGGATGTCGATATCGGCACAACTATCGTTCGATCCACCAACTGTACCGTCGCCGATGTTTGCAAGCCACTTAGAAAACTGCCTCAACTCATCGTATTCATCTCCCCCACCAAGGCTTCGAAGCCTCATATTCCGAGTCAGTCTCAGAACGATACAATCGCACCACAACTTGGATGAACTGATGGTCGCATTAACTATGTCTCTTCGACTCCTTTAAGGACAATGAGGAGTATCTGTCTGAAATCCCCACCTAACACAACACACTTGCCGCTAAATGGGAGATTTTTCCTCGATGGATCAACTGATGGATCAACTGCTTCCATTAAGACTCGTAAGGTGTTGTCCACCGCCTGGAAGCAATATTTGTTCATCATCGGGGCTACATTCCAAATGATCAACCGACATCGTATGATCAGTTCGGCCAAAGGACTCTGCTGGCTAATATCACATGTAAAGCCTTCCATTAGGTTTAGTGGGATTCTGAATTGTGAATGTGCAATGTGTCTGCCGGGCATCAAAAGTGATGCAATACCGCTCGATACAATGTTCAACACAATTTAACCTTTGGATCTCAAAGCAGAAGACAACGCCCTCCAGACATACATTTTACCGGTGCCGTCGTAACCATAAATAAAATACATGTGTTCTTACGTATGGTAAACAGAGTCCATTATTGAGCCATAAACATTCCGCTGCTCATCAGTCATATTGGCAACCAACTCCTGATTCTCAATAGTGAGTGCACGACGATCGTAATTCTACTCGTCCATCACCAGTATGTTCGTGGATGCCTCATTACGATCGAGATTAGGAAAAGGCATTGTTTCGTATTCGCATAAACTCGTACCACGTCTGCGCAAAATTTTTTCAACCTCTGTCAATGCCAGATTCCTTACTTCATCATCGCTCAGCACCAATTCTGTAACAACAATATAGAAAGTTTATAAATATAAAGAAATAAGAGAAAAAGAAAAAAAACATAAGTATGTGACCGTAATTGATTCGTTCACCTGGGTGCTGTAAAACCCTTCAACGATTATATAATATATCATCCAATAGGTAAGGCCAGCATGATTTCCACACGAACTCCGGTCAACCGAGAGTATCAAAAGACAACAAAGTAGCAAAAAGGTTTCTCAATGAATTGGCACTCGACCGCTGGCTTGCGTCGATAATCCCTTCAATATACTCTTTGTAGTCCTCCACCAGACCGAGGGAAAAATAGGCGTCACAATACGAATCCTGTTGTACTCCATCCAACATTATATAGTCACGATGGCACGTTGCACCTCGAACAACGTTTATAAGACACCGCAAGTAATATATGTCACCAGCACCAGGGGGAATGAAGTACAAATGCGATATACAATCACTTCCTTTCCTAGGCTCCCAACTGTTGGTTTCCGAGTGCCACGTAAATTTGGTGGGAGCCTCAACGTATGTCAGTTTCCTAGCTTCGGGATACTTCTTGTTAGCTTCCATCCAAGCTAAAACATTTACTGCCGGCATTTTTGTTTATCTTAACCACTTTATCGATCGGAACTTCATTGTCATAGTAGCACGGATTCTCGTTCTCGAGGTGAAAATTCAAGCGCTCCACTGATGGGTGCTTGTATTGAATCTCAAACTCTAACAACCGCCACGCAGCCTCACAAGATGAAACGTACCGACAATAATAGTACATTTTCACCTTGTCAACTGCCCTGCTAGAGGACTCACCTCCATTGGACTCATAGAAGGTGGCAGTAACGCGATCGTTCCCCTTGTTCACGTACTTGAACAAATATTTGATGGACCTCGACTGGTTGCACCATTCCGCGCCGTACTTTAGGAGCAATTTTCTGGGTAATGAATTCCGTCAGTTTAGATACGACTTGAACTGTTATGTGAATGAATGAGTAACACTGTTAAATGTTTTAAATCGAAAAATGAATTTCAAAAATTTAACTGTGATTTTTGAATAAGTTCGGGATTATTCTTTAAAAATCAGTGGGGCGTCACACATGCAGCAGTCCATGAGGTCCACACGAGCTACTTGGGATGCAAGAATGGTCGGTGTGACTTGAAGGGCAAGATTGGACGAGCTTTAAGAAGACTTGGGGACCAAGACTTAGGATATTCTAGTTGGGGCGAATGTTCTAGAAGATTTAATTAGATTATTTGTTTACTCCTAGTTTATTATTCTCTTCCTCGATTATTAGGTGTTTGGAATTTGGGCATGTGCATAATTAGTTGTTTGGTAATTCTTAGGATCTAGATATATTATTTCCTTAGGACTATAATTCTAGTAGGTCTGGACTTTATTTTCTTTAAATACCTAATATGTTGTCCAATTTTATAAATCAATGCAGGTTAATAAAAAATGATCTTTGATCACCAATCGCAATTCTAAGTACCAAACGTCGACGTGAGTAATCGAAATCTATCACTTAAAAATTAAGGCGTCGACACAGATTTCGAAGCAAACTAAATTATCTCGACATATATAATCTTCATCAGGATCAAATAATATTCAATCGTTTTGAGGTCGTTTCTACTATCATCAAATAATTAATTAAACAATAAATTAACAATTAATTCTTCTTAAATCCCAAATCCACAATTCATCTTCCTTGTCAGCCCCAATGCATTTGATTTTCCTCTGCACTCCCTAATACATATTTCTCTTTCCTTTCACCTCCCCCTATAAATACTAATACTATTATTATTCATTAAATTTTAATTTACTTGTAAAGCATTGCAGATATTATCCTCTCTCTCATCTACACTCTCTCTCCAAATCTGGAAAAAGAAAAAAAATCGAACCAGAACTCCAAAATGATTCATCCATGGAGAAGCACGTACAAATACTCCTCAACAGGATTTCCTTCGCCTCCATAGCCGTAGCCACGCTGACCCTCATAAAAACTCATAAAAAAAAAAGCTGGCGATCCAAAACCCCAAATCCTCAAAATCAATCCCTCGCCTCCCCAAAATCCCACCTTTTTCCGCCGATTTTTCCACCTCGTCCGATCACTCTCTGCCGTGCCACCCGAAATCCCATAAGAACAAACCATTCTCCGAAACTCAACCTCCACTCTACCCCAACTTCGGACTTCATAGATTTTGGCCCGGTCCGGCTAACAATTTCAACACCCCGGCAGTCCAAATAACCCAGAATGGGCCCCACAATCCCCGGCAGCCTCAGAATCCGCTCGCTAGCCTCCTTCAAATCCCCAATATCCTTCTCCAAATATAGATCGATTATTATAGATCTCCCCATCCTTCCCGCACCTTCTGAGCTCACCCAAACAGCCCCTATCGGCAAACAAACCTGTAACACCCCGCTTATCAGAGTAAATTTTTCGCAACTTTTACTTCGAAAATACTTATATCTCTTTCGAAATCTTTTGCGACTATTTCGGGATGCTACTAAAACTTACATCTTGAAAATCCATTTATCTTTTACCTCTTGTCTAATAACTCTTTTAGACATAATTAAATAGATTTTCTTTAAACTTGCATTTAACCATATCCATCCTTCTCAAATTTATAAAAACTTCAAATCATAAATTCATTTAAGAAAATGCAAGTTCAATAGTCAATATGCGTAGCGGAATAATCGAAAGCGTGATTTATTATACAAACTTTATTAAAGACTTNNT